CCTTGGAGACGCTGTGGGGCAGTTCCACCCTGTCCTCTAGGGGCGCTGTGGGTCAGAATGGACTCCACGGCAGTGGGTGTGGTTTGGGCTTTGCTTCTATGAAGATTGACAGCCTTGGAGACCCTGTGGGGCAGTTCCACCCTGTCCTCTAGGGGCGCTGTGGGTCGGAATGGACTCCACTTCGGTTTCCCCTCCTATGTACCTCGGCAGGCGCTCCCGCCTGGAGCAAGAGCTAGAGGCGCGCTGGGGCCGCCAGGCGGCCGTGGGGGCGCAGGGCAGCCAGCGGGCTCCGACCTGAAGGTCCCATCCGCGGAAGTAGCCGGTGCGAGGCCGCCCTGGGCCCGCGCGCTCCGTGACGTGCGTCCTCTGTCTTTCAGGACGGCCACCACGCGGCCAGGACCGGCCACTATGGCTCCCTGCCCCAGAAGTCGCAGCATGGCCGGCCCCAGGACGAAAACCCTGTAGTGCACTTTTTCAAGAACATTGTAAGTGTCCTTGCGCACGCGCCCCGGGAAGGAGAAACCGCGCGCGGGGTAGGGACCACGGGCACCGCTGCTCAGGGGCGAGCGCGGCCACGGGCCCCTGGGAACGCAGCCCCGGCGCCCACGCCGCTCCGGGCGCTGCTGAGGCGCCGCTGCCCTGAGCCCGGCCGTGGGAACCCCGCCGCTGCTTCCGCTTCCGGCGCGGCCGCCACTGCTGGGGCGGAACCGGAAGCCGTTGTGCTGCGTTTACTGCCGATCCCTGCAGGGACGCTGAGAGCAAGCCCCTGACTCCTCCAGTGTCGGCTGCATGGGTGGGGTCACACGGGGTCAGCGGGGACCCCACCCTGGAGCCGCTTGGGTGTGTCGGCCATCCTCTCATTTCCTGGGTGTCCTGGGAGATTTGTGTCTCATTGAATCAAATGCTCAGGCCCTGTGTTCAAGCTCCAGTGGAGGACAAATACCAGGGCGGACGGGGGTGGTCCTAACGTCAAAGAGATGACATGGTCACAGGGGGTGGCCCTTACATCAGAGAGACAGAGACTCACAGACAGGAAGTGCAGGTGGCCCCCCAGACCTGAGGGAGCGGGGGCTGCTTGTCAGGGAGGCACTGCTGTCCACTCACTGCCCCTCTGCCTGTCCTCCCAGGTGACTCCTCGCACACCACCTCCGTCCCAAGGAAAGGTAAGACTCCTGGATTTTTGGGTCAATCATTAATTTATTTAAAAACTTTCCCTGAAGTCCCTAAATGTCCCAAAAAGAGAGTTGCACTCACAGCTACCTGAGTTCACCTCAGACTGTC